GGATTCACAGCTTTCAATCTTCGCTTGCAGTTAGGTGCCTAAGCCCTTTTGTTCAAAAAGCAGGAAAGGGATCAAACTCTTCAAAGTATGATGCAGGAGAAAAGAGAGCACAGCTCTCCCCTCCATTTCTCAATAGTCCTGTGGTAAAAGCATTTATTTGGAACAGGTGAGCCCTGAGTTCAAATTCCATCCAGGAGAGCCACTTATCCTATTGCAGTATTTTCTGCAGAGGGACGTATCAGTTCCTCAGGTTTCTTATCTCTTGGCTCTTATTTTATAGAAATACCTCAGTGCTCTGATAAGAAGGCCCCATTGTTTTAATAATGCTTTCTATTCCTCTGCCCTCTAGTGATCTACCTTCCAGTATCTCCATTGTCTTGTTATTTGGCTTTCAGCTCTAGTTAAGGTATCTGAATAAATCCAAGCTGACAACAGAAGTCAGAATAGGAAAGGGGTTTAACAAATAGACTAATTTAAACCTGGCCAGTGAGTGTCATATGGTTGATAACTGATGTGAAATGGGATAAAAATAAATACTAAAAAGTGAACATTTAAATGACAGTGAAAGGTGAATATGACTGATCTTTTCCCAGAAAAATTTCAGGTGTTTCCTGTACTTTTTTAGTAACAGTCTCTTTCAAACCAGTATTAGCCAGTAACGTATTTTGGCTGTTTATCTGCCTTTAAGTAACCAGCTCTAAGTTCCTTATTTCTATTGATTTTATTCTTCTTCTTTTGCAATTTAGTCTGTTGTTGCTTCTGAATTTTCTCTTTTCCAGAGATATTTGTAACTGGCTTAACTTGCTGCTATCACACTTATTGTTTTGCACTCTGTATAAGGCACTAATCACTTACTATGGGACAAAGGCTAGATATGGATTTAATGTAAAGATCTCCAGAAGGAGAAATTGGTATAGACCCACTGACACCTCTGATACTTTACAACAAACTTGTCCCTGGCCTGTATAGATTTTAATAACTGTTATGTTCAAGAATGGCATAGCCTCTTCCTCCCTCAGCATTGTCTACTAAAATCCACATACACCCCCTCAATGGGTCCTGTTTCTTCTGCCAATATATGTACATTTTCCCAGTGCAATAATCTAGTGTGTATGGCCAATGCAGTGGATACAAACGGCCAGTTGGCAGATGGTTAGAGGTGACAGCAAGGATGTCACCACTAAGCACATGAGGAATCAGCAGAGAATGAGGTTTGCAGGAGGCAGCAACATTAGTTGTCTTCCAGTGCACCTATGAGAAACCATACTAGAACCATTCTGACTTTCGGCTGGACTGGCCAAGAGCATAACAGTAAGGAAAGGTGAGAGGGCCTTCCCTATATTTACACAAATGAAACATTGGATCAGTTTGATACAGATGAACAATTCCTGACAATGCTGGTGTTCAGAATGTTATTTTAAGGACTCTGACTTGGTTTCTTATTGAACAGTCAGACTACAAGTCCCAAAATGACAAGGAGACACGTTGTGTTGGGCAGCCTACAAATTTTGTTAGCTAAAGAAGACACAGGTTTATGCTGGAAGAAATGGCAAAAAGCTTTAAATGTGTCAAAATGCATACATATGAACATGCTTGTCTCTTGGTGTACAGGACATGTTCATCAGCTGTATTTTATTACTTCCATGTAAGAGGTCCAGCTACTGTAACTATCCTACATTTTCTTAAGATCATGATCTCTCTCTTTTCCAAACTGGAGCATCCTTTAGCATAAAGCAGAAGGGCGAATGTTCAGAATGGTAAATCTGGGGTACTTTGATCAATTTATTATCAATTTTCTTAGTTTCATGTGTGGGGGCTGTTCAGAACATTTTTTCTGTGGGTTTTTGTTGATTTTATAAATGTCTGTTCTCTGGGAAAAATAAGGGAAGAAGTGGGTCAAAGCACAAACGGGAGCTGTTCTATGTTCTCCAGACAGTCTCAATGCATCCTGTGCCCGTGGGATTCCTAATGGCTTCCTTGTGTTTCCTTCTGTTTATCCAATGAAGTAAACAAAAAGGATTTATTTTTCTTGTTTCATATTTAAGGGCATTTTAATCTTCCTTGGGGAAACCATTACATCAACAACTGATTTTTCATGTCAGTCTTTATAAGATGAATTAACCACAAATAACAGAGCCTGTTCAATAATAAACAGGCTTTCTGGATGGACTCCTCTGGGTCTGTAGGAAACATACCTCAGATATCCTGAGCCATTGGGATCAATGCAAATAGACTGGCTAAAATAAACACAAAAGAACAAATTCCAACATTATGTTGTGGCACAGGCAACTAGAAGCATTCTTTTAAAAAACATATATTTTTAAATGAATCCAAATTAAAAATTATATATATTTTTATACGAACCCAAATTTTCAAATGACAAATTTAACATTTAAAGATTTCTCCAGTTCCCTAAAGACGGGCTTATACAGGTCTATCTTCCATCATTTATGGTCATTTAATCTGAATCAACATCCGCAGAGAAGAATCTTGTATTCTTTTCACTCTGCCAGCTGCTCATTGCATTTCAGAGTTGATGTCAGGCTTCTGTGTTTCTGCCTCTTCTCCATGGGTGACTGGCGATCTGGTGCCCCCCCAGACTCGGGAGGCACCAATGAGGGGGGGTGGGGCCCACAGCTGATCACAGACTGGGGAGGGAAGTGGTCCTGCAGTGGCAAAACCAGAGAAACTGTAAGCGCACTTCTGCCAGCACTTCCAGTTTTGTGGCTGGTGCTTCCAGGGGGGTGCACGGCCAATCTCAGGAGATGCACGTGTACCCGCGTGCACCCCTTACGTGTCACCAGTGCTCTTCTCTATATGCAACCTGATAAATGATTGACATTCCCCATGCACACCTTTTTTCCTCAGAAAAAGCTCTCTTCTGGTCATCTATACTGTTAGATTTCAAATTCATGTTTGTGTTGAAATTTTTGAAAGATCACATACAGCTGCTTTTTAGATCATACCAAGTTGCATGTTTGATCATCACCATGTTTTTTTACAAATGCATTCACTTTAATTGTGTAATGATTCCTGCATGAAGAACATTTCAAAAGCCCAGTGTATCATCTTAGCAATGTTCAAATCCATCATACTGCTGGCTATTCACTGTTTGCAATTTACTATCAAACATGGGGGACTAATTCCAGGAGTCACATGGTATTTCTGCTCCTGAGCTGGACAAATACATCTCTTGGAACCACTCCTGGCTCTTGCATGTCACAAAACAAATGTTCTTCCTTGATTTTAAGTTGAACCTCTGACGGTGAATAGGTAGACAAGATTCTTTGGGTAGATGTGATACCTTGTATTAGACCAAATAAATAGTTGGAAAAATTGTTCTTTGCAAGCTTTTGGGCACAAACACCCTTCTTCAGGCACACGCACAGGGGAATAAAATACTGCTCGACAGCAGGAACACAAACCAGAAAGGGGTGAACAGAAATGCCAGGGGCAGCGTTTCTATAGGTCCTGCAGGCTCACTCTGCACAGGTGGACCTAAAGATGTGAGGCACAAAATTTTCCAGTGCTTTATTTTTCCATGGGGAATTTTCCATTTTTAAAAATTCATTGTTTCATAAAATTCATTAGTAACAATGAATGGATGCCAATACAATATTAGGCAATTTCAAGGTTGTAATCAGCATTCCCTCTAAGCTGTGTGTGTGTGCAGCTGCACGCAATAAAAATCATGCTGCGCAATAAATTTTTAATGCCATGCACCCAGTGGCGTACCGATGGGGTGGGGGGAACAGTAGGGGGCCATGGACCCTGGGTGCCACCTGGGGGGGTGGGGAACTCCCAGTTCCATAGAACCAGGGGCTGATGGTCTCCTTGCCACCCACCCCAACCTGGCCACAGGAGGGGGAAGGGGTGGGCGTACTAAGATACCTGCGCACTCCCAGACGGGATTGTTTACAGACTGCTAATCCTTAGAAGGAACATTGGTTGTAATTAATGTTTTTCAGGTGATTATCCCTAGGAAGTGTGTGAGAAAGTACATATATGTTTTATTGATTTGTGAATAGGAGGGTAAATACACTCACATAATAATCCAAACCAAAAATCAAGTTATGAATTCACCCAATTGGCTGTGGAGGTCAAATCAAAACCAAAGAATGGCATATCATGCACAGTTCTTTGGGTAAGCTAAAATTACTGTGCCAGTTTTCATGGTCTTTTTTGTTCTTAAATTTAAAAAAACAGTGTAAGGGAAGTGCATGCCATTGTGTATTGTCTTTACATTTTTACAAGTATTCCAATAAAAAATAATTTCTTTCCACATAAAGCTTTGAATTTGTTTGCACATGACATTAAACCACATTAAGTGCACTGTATTTAATTTTTTTCCTAATCAAATATTTCAGTTCAAATACTTGTGGTTATTGGGACATAACATTAATATGGGGGGTACTTTTATAGTTTTGTTTATATAATTCTAATACACATGCTAAATCAGATCACACTGTATTTAGGGCATTGGAAAATTTTCCAGAAAATGCACATCTCTGGGTGGACCTCCCTCTAGCTGTCCTGGGAAATATAAATTTTCATTTCTACCTGGGGGAAATTTTATAATCTTTGCATACTCCTATCCCCGAGGAAGGGTGCGTGTGCCCCAAAACTTGCAAATAAAGATATCACATCTTTTTTTTTTTTGGCCTGCCAAATAAAGACGGACACTTTTGCAACTGTCTAGTTGGTCCAATAAGATCCCGCTGAGTCAGAGCGAGGTGCCAAGGCAAATTGCGCGGCAAGCCCTGGACAGCTGTGTTGCACATCTCGCCACAGCACCCTCGGAGCTCTGGAGGTCTGCAGCTGTACGTGCGTAGCAGGGGCTGCGCAGGTCTCCTGGGCACTGCCGCGCCCAACATGGCGGCGCCTGCGTGACAATCACAAGACGCAGTCCGCCGTGCCACACCCAAAATGGCGGCCCAGCGGCGCTTTCTCTCCCCCGCCCCTCCGAGCCTGGAAGTCCGGCGGACTCTAGCGGAAGCGGAAGCAGGGGACAGGAAGTGTTATCCCGACCGCCGCGGCCACAATAACAGGCGGCAGGAGGCGCTGGGGGGGGCAGGTAAGGGCTGGTGTTGGCTGTCATCGGGGGACCGGCTTCGGCCGGGGCGCGCAGGAGCGGAGCGGGACGGGGCTGGCCGGGCCCCCGCGGCGTGGGGGCACCTGGGGTCGCCACGTCCAGCCCTACCTGCGCTGTTGGCTCGGGCCCGGCTCCCCCGAGCGTCCATCTACTCCGTGTCGTGTCCAGGCCCTGCGTCTAGTTGGGGCTGTGCTGCTCTGCGCATCGGGGTAGGGCTGCGTTGCCACCTGCTGAGCAGGCAGACCTGGGTCCGGCCCTGCTGCCCTGAACCGACAGGAGCCGGTTGGGAAAGGAGCGCGCGCCGGACAACAGCCGTCTCCGCGTTTTCTCTTGTAAAGAGTCGCTGGTGTCAGCACACGCTTGCTCCGCCTGCCCTGCCAGTGCTGGGGTGTGTCCTGGCAGATCCAAGTGTTGTAGGCACACATGTAGTATATCTGCATGTATACTTGTATATATATTTCTGTTCACATTTAAGGAAGCAGACAGAACATAGGGTAGTCTATTTCTTCACTTAATGTAACTTGAGTGGAGGAAAAAAAAGATTGTGTATGAGCCCTGCCTCGATGCTCTACATTTTCAGTGGTGAATGTTGTAAACTGGATGAGGTTGCAGATTGAAGCTGATGTCTAACAACAGGAAACAGCAGCTTACCTTCCTGCTTGGAAGACTGAGCCCTGTTTCAAAAACCACTGCGGTTTGTGGACTCGGCTCCTTGACAATACGTGAAACTGAACAGACCCAAGATGCGGCTGCTGGCATGTGTGTTTGTATAAAATCATTCTGTAATGCGAAAGCAGGGAGTGCACATTAGTTTTAAAAAGTAGTTTGTGGAGGCATCTCTCCTATTCTTCCCTTCTTTCTGATTTGATAGGATTAAAAAAAAAAACACATTTCCAGAGAAAAAGCTGGAATTTATAACTCTTGACAAACGGAGATGTCTTTTCCCCCGCCCTGAACCGTTCACATACTGTTTTCTTGGTTCTCTATTTCCTGATATCACTTGGTTTTAACACAGTTACATTCTTTGTTGCTCCGTGTCTCAAACAGGAGTAAAATGCATTTGGCTTAGAGCCCATCTTCTAATGCTGGTTTATCAAAATGTATGCCGTTGTCCCCCAGCATATGCTCCCCTCAGGTTAGCTGGGAGACCTTGGCTTAGACGTAAATTGAATGGCCCATTTGGTACCCTGCTTTTTACCTATTGGTTGATGGTAAAATCCTTTTTTTGTGGAAATACAAAACTGTTATACACTAGTGCTGAGATGCCTTTTAGAAGGACCATGCCATAACAGTCATGGACCTAAAATATGATGGTTACAGACAATATTAAGATCCAAGTGAAAGAAATTTCATGTATCTGATTTTCCTCGGTTTTATGTATTTACTATATGCAGAAATCCCTGAAGTTGGACACAGTAAGTAGACAAATCTGATATTTAAGTAATCAGCCTCATTCAGTTGAACAATACTACATTATTTCTGTTGCAAAGGCTGTAAAGGATTCTTCTAAACCAAATTCTGTTGATTTTGGAACATGGCAGCTTATTCTAAGCAATTAAAAGATACAGTAAAAGTTCTGTTATCTGGCATCTTACAAGCCGGCAGGCTCCACTAACTGGCATGCTGGCTTGTAAGATAAAGTGAAACCGGAAGTGCCCACCATGGCACTTCTGGTTTCTCCAAGCCCCCATTGCTTGGAGCAAAGCAGCCTGCGCTGCCGAGCCCCCATGGCCCCACGGGGCATAACAGGCTGTGCGGGACCCACCTCCCTATCCCGTGGGGCCTGTAGGGAGCAGTGGCGATGCTGCAGGAGGGGTGGAGGGACTCCCCAGATGTGGTGTCAGAAGCGGTGTCCAGCACTGCTCACTTAACCATCATCTTTTGTTATCTGTCATCCCCTGTTCCCGCAGATGCACAGCATCCTATTCCTGAAATTTTCTTATGACAAGTTAAGATGGCAAAAGCATACATGATATATATTCGATTTATCACTGCTATACCCAAGCTGTTCTGCCCTTTTACCTGTTCTACTTTATACCCTGCTGGCATGCAAAAGGAAGATGATTAAGATAGAGGTGCAATCATACATCAGTCCAACATCAGATCAGCACCAATATAACGAAAATTGACTACATCGGAAATCAGCCTGAAGTGGCCGATAATTTGGCCAAGAAATACCCATGTGTGCATGCAGCCACAGTGCACCATGTGAGCAGCGTGGAGAGCTGTGTGGTGGAAGGGAAGGGGGGAGGGAAGAGGTGTCGGGGGCAGATCAATGACCCCCATGGTGAGGAGTGGGGTGAGATAGGCACTGCCCAGCCAGGGTGGGACAGGCACAGGATGGAGCCATGGCTGGGGTGGGGAAGGTGGTGGCTCTGGCTAAGTACGTGGTACGCCTGGTGGCTCCTGCCACTGTCTGTCTAGAAGGGTAGGAGGGGAGGGGCGTGCCCTAGATCTGTAAGAGCCGTGCAGGCTGCAGCTGGGGCTGGGGGCTGTGCTGCACTGCACTTGGGGTGGGTGGCAGCAGCAGTAAGAGGGGACTATGGGAGGGCTACAGCACAATTTGGGGGGGCTGGAGCCCCCTCAGTAGCTTCCCTCCCAGCACCACTGCCACCTGCCCCAAGCACAGCACAGCGCAGTGTGGCTTCTGGCCCCAGCCCACAGTTGCAGCCTGCCCTGCCCTACCCCGCAGAGATCCAGGGGCGCACAAGTGGCGGGAGCAGCAGCCGGAGTTGCCCCCTTGAATCCCGTGAACGATCCATGGCTCTGTCCCATGCCTGTCCTGCCACAGCAGGGCATCGCCTACCCCTGCCCCACTCCCTCCCTCACCGTGGGGGGCGTTGATCTACCTCCCTCCTCCCCTTCCACAACAACAGACTTATCAGCTGCATGCAGCTCTCCATGCTGCTGGGCTCTGCTTCTTGTTGCCTGCATGGTGCACTGCGGCTGCACGCACGTACGGGCATTTATTGGCCAAATTATTGGCCACTTCAGGACAATTTCTGATATAGTCAATTTTCTTTATATTGGTGCCGATCCGATATTGGACCGATGTATCAGTGCACCTCTATCTTAATCATCTTCCTTTCGCATGCAGCTGTATCTGAAATTGGATTGGTATCGGCTGATATGCCTCCTTAAAAATCAGCTACCAGTATTGACCCCCAAAATCTCTTATCAGTGCAGCCCTAGATTAAGATCAGTTAAATGGCTATGAATATAAAAAGATTTTTAACATGAAAACAGAATGGGGAATAATAGAAGTTACTGCTATAGTTGCAGAATAGATGTAAAACAATATGCTGTTCTAGGATAAAAGCATAAGGTGCAGGCAGTTCTAGGTTTGTTTTGTAGCAAACAAAAGTAGTTAATTTTAAAAGAGTTCTCATAATTACATGTTGGCTTTTTTGGTTGAAGTATTACATGTTTAGGCTCAGCAAGGAGATGAGTTAGTTTGTGAAAAATCAATTTTAAGGAAAATGTATTTTTCCATTTTCTGAAGCTAAAGCAATTTTTACAACACATTATTTGTCACAAGGAAATAATGAATTGTCAGACCTGACACGTTAAAAGTTTTAAAGTCCCTTGAAATCTAGTCATATTTGAGAAGTTTAAATATATTATTCTCTTGCCAGAATTTTCTTTTCATTCTATAATAATGCCTGTTTCCTTCAGGAAAGTTACACACCCAGGTTTTGACTGAACTGAATGGCAGAAAATAATATTCCTTAACAGTAACTCTTTACCATCAGAACAAGGAGATAATATGAGCCATCAAAAACCTGAGTATATAATAATCTGAATCTTTCCCAAATTGTTACCTTATTCTGGTAATTTCAAGCTTTCATTACAAAATATTTTTTTCTCTTGTGTGAAATTACATGTGGGATGATGTTAACTAATTGGTTGATTCTGTGTTAGCCTGGCTTTTGAGAACATAATCACCAGCCAAACAGCAGTGCTAGGAAAGAAATGAATACTTTCTACCTCCCTCTGTCTTCTCTGTGATGGGAGATATTAATAGGTGTTATTTTAATATTAACACTACTTTTTATTAGAGCTGGACAAATGAAAGCCAAAGAGCAGGAAACAGAGCTTGAGACAGTTAGACAAAATTTAGACAACTCTATCTCAACCATGCAGTTGGTCCGATAAAAATTGCCGTCTATTAAAAAAAACAAAACAAAACAAAACATTCTTGCCTTGCACATTTTCTGGGCCATCACAGCTACAACATTACTTCAACACTGGAAAATAGAGCATCATTAACTAAGCCAAATTCTATAATAGGTATAGAATTATGGTAGAATAACATTGGTAGAAATATATTCAATTAGTTAAGAATTGCTGTTTACTGGTTTAGACCATAGGTCCATCTTGCCCCATCTCTTGGTGGGCATAGGCCCATGCCCAGTGGCATAACAAATAGGCCTGTGTCACACAGGGGCCGAGAGTGGATGCTGAAAGGGACAGTGAACTGGGTATTACCAGGGTGGTTTTTCCAACTGTTGCTCTTTCACGTGCAATCTCCCATATTTAAGGTCTAGGAAGTTCTGATTCAGAGGCTGTATTCCCAACTCCCATGCTCAAGCGCTTCTGATGCCTTTTTCCTCCAAGATTTTTTAATTAGGTTAAACTGTCAGTTTCTTCAACATTTGGTGGCAGAGTTCCACACTTTACACGCTGTATGAAACAGAACTTCCTTTTGTTAGTTTTAAACTTACTACCTACTAGTTTAATTTTGTGACCCCTAGTTCATGTGCAACGAGAAAAAAGGAGAGATTACACATGTACGTTTTTGCTATGTTACATGTTTTTTGCTTTTCTTGAATTTTGCTTTTAATGGTGCAATCTTAAAACAACTCTTTCTACATCAGGTACACTGATGAAATACTATTTGAGTCATAATGACTAATCTAGCTCACCTAATAAAGTGAAATTGTATTTCTGAGGGAAGCAAGATCTAGAGAGAATGACTTCCTTGTAAATAAGTAGGAGCTAGATCACTTTATAGTTCACTGGAAAATATCCAGGTGACATCTGTTTAGTAATTTTCTTCATCTTTTTCCCACGAGTTGCCGGTGTGCGCTGATTTATAGATGGTATTTCTAAAGGCATTTTATTTTCTAAAATAGGAAAAGATTACTATGGAAGCAACCTGTAATTAAACCTACTGGGTGTTTTCCCACAAGACATGAAGCATGTTTTCTGTTTACTAATTTTTCTTGATCTAAGGGGACACTCCAGTTAGTCTCCATTCATTTGACTAGCTTTTATTTCCAGCTTCATACACAAGACAGATCAATTATACCCTGCCAGGAAAGTCCTTCCAGTTTTCAGCTGATCCATTAGAATAATGGCATTCCAGTGTTTCTCTTTGGTAGCAGGTTTTTCTGGGTCCTTTATGTAACTAACTTTCATTGGTCTGTCCCTTTCCTCCTCCATTTCTTTTTCAGTTGTACTGAATTAGCATAACATTGTGAACATTAATTCCTTTCATCAGAAATCATTACAATCATGGGACCTAGACGGAAAAATGTGAAACCATGCTTAATGAACAGGGAAGGCTCTGAATCTACCAAAGCAGATGAGCTGAAAGATTATATGAACCAGCTTTCTCATGAAGTTCTTTGCCATATCTTTAGGTAAGAGGCTGTACTATTTTTTGGCTTGCTGTCTGCTCTACCCTGTGAACAAATACCAAATGACACACCATATTCAGAAACATATTCAGAAGTGCTACCAATATTTCAGCTGGTAGACAAAAACTGAATTGAGTTTTATCAGTGTGCATATATAGGTCTTTTTTTGCTGGATAAATGTCAAGGAGAGTATACAGAATTTCTTTGTCTTCATGGTTTGTTTTTTCTTTTTGTTTTATAAAACTAAGCATGTAGATGATATGATATGAAAAAAAAGTCAATTATCCCTTAAGAGACATGGGTCTCTTATTCCCTGATTCAGTCTCCTGCACTGAATATTTTCCTATGTGAAAATTGCTAGGAAAAGCAGAGCACCATTGTTTCACTTTTTAACTCTAGTTGGAATAATACAAGCCTGTAGGTATCCTCTGGTAACTGATTCACTCTTGATTACAGTGCCAGTTGTTAAATTTCTTAATTCTCTATGTTAATATCCTGAAATTGAAGCAACCTTCATAGCATTAATAAATATTCTATGCGAGTAGAACAAAATTGTTGATGAATCTTTCAACAGATTTAAGATATGTCATGCTTCATGGTGTGCTCGCATGTATCATGAAGTGTCTGGTAAATTCATTCACTGTGCTTGCATTACAATTAATGCAGTTTTTTGTGCCTGGATATATTAGAATAGAATTCCAGTCCAAGTGTCCCTTTCCTTATTAGTTTTAGTAAAATACTTCATTCCATTCAACCCAAAAATGAATAATCAAAGTACAAGTGTACAAATACTCCAAATGAGAATCTGAATGTGAATGGTATGTAAATATCTTGCTGACAAGTTGGAGAGCTGTGCATCGCAAAATTAAAATATACATTTTAATTGGAAAGATTGAAGGTTTCCAGGTATTACTGTGGGGGTAGCTTTTCAGGGTTTGGTCAGAAATAGGCACGTGCTAGTACTAAAATGTGCCATTGGTCTCTTTTACCTGAGGACTGTATAAATATAGTGAGACTGCCCTTTTGTACCTGAAGTGCCCTGGTTGCGTTGTGAACAGATTAAGCAGAAAAAAACCCAGCAGATTAGTATGATATAGTTTGTCTGGAAGCCTCATTTGAATCCACTCTTTATAGTTTTAGAATGACTATATCTGGCTTTGTGTAGTAATTCACTTGATGTTCCCTTGTGTGAGAGAGGTTGAAAGAACTTTGTCTTTGAATAAGAGCTTTTTTTTCTCCTCTCCCAAAGGTACCTTCCATTGCAGGATATCATGTGCATGGAATGCCTCTCCCCGAAGCTGAAAGAAGCAGTGACTCTCTACCTGAGAGTAGTGAAGGTTGTAGACCTCTGTGCTGGCCACTGGTGGGAGTATATGCCCACTGGTAAGTAGGGTGTACCAGGATATAGTGGTTATGATAAGATCTTACTAGGTTGTAGTGATCTTTACATTTAACAATGTACAGTAGATTTTCAAAAACAGCCAGTGGAGCTGTATGACTAACTCCTATAGACTTTCAGTGAGAGATGGGTACCATCCTCCCATTAAGAAGTCATTTAAAACATCTGTATGTGTGGCAGATGCCACTGTGGCAGAAGTAAAGATTTTCTGTAACAATCTGAAACTATATGCTTATCTGAATATTTTAAGGGGGGTTATGGTATAAAAACAAAGGTTTAATTCAAAGAAGAGGCTGCTTGCATGCAGGCAGGGAAATATGCTCTGGGAGTGCTCTGTATCTGTTGGGATTTAAGAAACTCTGCAAGAGACAGAGCCACTCACTTTGAAGTTTCATCTTCAAGTCCTTTTTGTCGAAGAGACCATTTTGTCAAAGGCTGTGAAGAGTAAGATTTAGGGTTAGGATTCAGAGATAAATTTTGGAGGGAATACATATTTTTTTTCTTAATTGGAGAGTGGGGTGGGGGAGAGGTGCAGGACTTAAATGGGCAAATCCTGCCAAGTTAGAATGACTTGGTTCCTGTAGAAGGGTGCTTAGACTCTTGGTAAGAGAGTGTAACATTATTTGTTCTTTTAAAATCCCCTACCCCCTACTGTTCTGCTTTGTCCCTAATGTTAAAATAAAATGATATTGTCTTACAAATCTGTCAGGCTACTGTGACAGACTCCCAAAGTGAAGACCTAGAGGTGCCAAACTTGTCAGGCCTGATAGATAAATATGCCTGATGTCTCCTGGATAACTTAGGTTCCAATTTAAGAGTGGGAGAATCTTAGAATTTCAGGGGAGATGAAAGCATAAGGCCAGTGACTCCTGCGTCACGTGTGGCTATTGCTGTAACAGTGATACTTCCCCTGAATGAGATGCATATAACACAACCACAGGATAGAGGCAAAAGAATCTGTAGAATATTATTGTACAACATCAGAAATGGAGACATGTAGTTAACCATGTTAGTGTGAAGTGACAGGACTGGCTCCCTGCCATCTAGTTGACATCATTGCCAGAAGTGGTATTAGATGTAAGGCCAAGGATTGTTATTATCCACAAAGAATTGCAGCATTATTTTTTTCTGCAGAACTATTTGTTTCCTGTCACAAAACCCTCAAAACTTGTGTCCTCCTCCCAGGTTTCACTGATTGCAGTTTCCTAATATTGCTGAGGAAGATGCCAGACATTGAACAGCTCTATGGTCTTCACCCCAGGTATCTTGAAAGACGCAGAGTACGTGGCCATGAAGCTTTCAGCATTCCTGGAGTTCTAGAGGCTTTGCAGGCTTGCCCAAATCTGTTGGTAAGTGTGCAGATTCAAAAGCTGACATTAGACTCTGCACGTATACTGCAGAGGAAATAAAATTTGGACTAACCAAAAAAACCAGTACATATTTTATCTTATTGCTGGGCTTCTGCAAGTGCTGTAAATTTAATCCTTGTCCTGTATGAGTGGCAGCTGAAGCAAGCACAATTTCAAAATCCACTGCTAGTTTACAAGGGAATGCTGTTCTTTTCTAGCCACTTGATTTGGTTTCAAATACTCAACTCTCACAAGCTCAGGCTAATAACTAGTTTCCTGTGACTACTTAGTTTTTAAAGTCACGTGGCTCTGTATTTAAAGTGAAAATGTAATTTGTATCAAACTCAGTGTATTAGCAAGATGTCTACTTGGTTAAGAGAAGCATTGTTGTTTAAAATGGTAATTTCTGATTGCTGTGCTTTTGTCTAGGGTGTTGAGACCTCTCATTTAGAGCTGGTGGAAGCAATTTGGACATATATGCCACAAGTTCATATTTTAGGGAAGTTTCGTAATCGTAATGGTGCTTTCCCAATCCCTCCTGAAAACAAACTGAAGATTCCTATAGGAGCTAAAATTCAGACTTTGCACTTAGTAGGTAAGTGTTTGTGGTGAAATGTCTGCCTTAGAACAGAAAAGTTTGAAAAGAGGTACCACTCCTCTCCCTTCCAGGAATGGTAGTTGATACAGTCTGGGGGTTTCTAGAACATGCATATTTCCCTGTTGCAGCAGGGATTTGGATGGCAAATTTCTTGTGACTGTTGACACATGGTAAAGAAGAATTTTATAAGTTCAGAGCACTGTAGTTTTTAGGTATTCCATTGGTCTTGGGAAGTAATTTAGTGATGGCTGTGATGTTTCCTTGATGCATTTGATTTTTGTTTTGTTCATGTATTCTAGGGGTAAATGTCCCTGAAATTCCTTGTATCCCAATGCTGAGGCATCTGTATTTGAAGTGGGTGAGGCTTACCAAACCACAGCCCTTTAAAGATTTCCTTTGTATCAGCTTACGCACTTTTGTCATGAGAAACTGTGCAGGTGAGAGAATAGAGGATTCTTCTCAGAAAGGCTTGTGTATAGCCAATGTCAGTACTAATACTGTGCCACTGCCAATGTGCAGTTGTCTTCTTGGAATGGATGTTCACAATATGGTGAAGTCGTTGAGCTACATCATCTGTAGTGCATACATTAATGAAGCTACACCCTTGTTGGAAGCAGTTGTATTAAGTTTATCAAGTTTTCAAGTATAAATAAGGCCAAGACGTTGCCCATGCTCATCCATTATATGGGAAGGAGTCGATAGCACTATTTTATACATGACATTGAGGGGACTAACATCTCTTACTGTATTTTATTACGAGAACCTTTCTCCTACTTTGTTTTTGGCTTGTGCTGGACAGTTCTGCATTATTTGGCATGATGTATTCAATACCGTAAAATATACAACTCTGAGTATCTTGTTCTGTTCTCTGCAGGACCCACAAATTCTTTGAAGTATGTCCCTTTAGTGACAGGTTTGGCTTCTGCCCGAAACTTGGAACATCTAGAACTTGTTCGAGTTCCTTTTCTTGGAGGACTTATTCAGCATGTAGTAGAAGATAGCTGGAGATCAGGTATACAGCTTCCTATTTTCCCATGTTGTACAAGAAAATCAAGCTAGCTCTGAAGGGTAACTGCTGTTTTACAGGTTGTTTTACTGATCTGCTTTTGGAACTAATAAGATGAGAAAGACTCAAAGGGTGATAAATATGGACCTGCATTAAGTATTGTTTTAATATACTAATAGAATTGCTTGCACTTATCACACTTTTGTTGACAACATGGAAAGTGACAAAAGCCAGGTGAAATTAGTCTGCAATTTCTGCACCAGTTGAAACTGCTGAAGACCTATGATCTAAGATTTCCAAATAAATACCACCCTTCACTGTCATTGCACTGTCTGCAGGGTGAAATTGGCAGAATGAACCTAGAGAGAGGGGTGATTCCTCATTAAATATCATCACAATGTTTCTGAGAAACTTGCTGCTTCAGAGCCACCTTTTACTAGTCAGTGCCAACTGTAAAGAATTTTATGTTGATTTCCTTCAAAATAGCATGTATCCTTGTTAATCTCATGTATACACTGCAAAGATAATACTAAAGGAGTTACATGCATTTTTTTTAATGCCACAACCCACTAACTAAAATGAAACTCCTGTATTTCCTCTCACCAGGTGGCTTTAGGAATTTGCACACTATAGTTTTGGGAGCTTGCAAGAATGCCCTAGAAGTGGATCTTGGCTACCTCATCATAACTGCTGCACGAAGGTACTGCCGTTCTCCAGTCTTCTCCTGTCTTTTCCATTCCTTTCATTTTTCAAAGCAGTTATTTCAGTACCTTAATAAAGTCCCAAAACTTTAAGAGTAAATGTTAAGTTTTTGAGAAGCCAAACCCTAATTAGCTTTAAATGAAAAGATTATCAAATGGCTAGAGGAGTGTCCTGGGTTCTGCAACGACTTTTTCTGTGGTGTGAGTTGAATTGCCAGACTTTTTGTCTTAAATAAGAATTACACGCTTAATATACAACCAATAGTTAAACTTCAAAAGGACCCTCACTATTGTATAGCTGCCAAATTTTATTATAGGGAAAGATGCAGGTATCCACTGGAGTTTACCTCTGTTGAATTGCTATTTACATTCTGTTGCCTTGGCTTGAATGTGAACTGTACCTGATCACTTTTAGGTTGCATGAAGTGAGAATCCAGCCTTCTCTGACCAAAGATGGTGTCTTTTCTGCACTGAAGATGGCAGAACTAGAGTTCCCCCAATTTGAAACCCTTCATCTGGGATACGTTGATGAGTTTCTGCTGCAATGTATGATTTTTTTTTTTTTTTATATACTTGAATTATCTGGCAGATGTTAAGATAGTGCAAATTCATAGTTGTGTTACATTTGTCAAGACATGCATTAAAAAGACTGTAAATACTCGCATATTAATTATTGGGTTCAAATTTTATGTTGTTCAGAAAATGTCTACCTTCTGACACTTTTATTGAAACCAGGGCAAAGTTTGCTTTGGCTGAAATAATATTCTGGTCTGTGTGCTAAATTGGGTTACAGTGTGAAATTGGGAAGGGATGCTATCAAAGGTTTAAACAATCTGTTGTCTTTCTGTAGGTAAAATGACTAATGGGGACTTGGTGAAGTATGGGTTGGCTGATGTAGTTGAAAATCCAGGAATCATCACAGACATTGGAATGAAAGCTGTGAATGAAGTTTTCTCTTGCATCAAGTACCTGGTCATTTACAACTGCCCACATCTACACAATCCAAACAATTGGATCACAGGTATTGCATACCTTTAAAATTATGGAGTTATGTGGCAGAGACAGCTCATACTGGCTTGAATTTGGAACACAGATTGTTTTAGTTACATTCTATGAAGAATCTAATAATTCTGGCGGTTTGCAGGTGTTAAACAAAAAACACACTTTACAGGAAGAAATGGCACATTACTTCAACCCAGCTCTGCAGTTTCTGTAAAGATTGAGCTCTTCAGCAGGGCTTTTTGGTGCTTTTAGCTAAAGCTGATTCAGTCAGGTATTACATAAAAGTGCCAAAAAAGCCCCACTAATGCACCTGATCTTTACAGACATCAGGCGAACTGGGTTGACATAATGTGCTGCCTTTTCTGGGCATGCACAGGGCTTGGCACAGGAACATGTTGAGTTTAAAGTAAAGCGCTGGTTTCTTTGGGATTTTTTTTTTTTTGTGTCTGTAAGCAACCCTGTGTGATCTTTAAAAATGAAATGTTGAGGACCAGGAAAAACACACATTTTCAGATTGCAGAGTGCATACCTGTTCTGTGTGCATAGATACAGGCTCCATGTAGAAGCAGAATATTATTAATTTGAGTGGATACATTGGGAGGAATAAGAAATTAATGATTGGTAGGTGATAAATGTAATGGAACAGGGCATAACAAATAACTTACCCAGTTTGATAAGTGTATTCAAAGTTCAAAGGTACTAAAATAATTTAATGTGCTTGAACCCTGAACTGACATGACCAGTTCTGGTTATGAAAGGTAATTCCAGGTCTGCATCTGATTGACATAGTCCTCTCTTTTAGGAGTTGGAGGGAAAAGAAAAAATAATGATTATGGATTCATGTGATTTGAATATTTGTCTATTATAAACTGCATATGAAATGCATTTCATGCAGCTACTGAACAGTCACCAAATAGTAAATAACTTCATATTATTAATCTTATGGGCTTTAGGCAGCCTTACTATGTAGTAGAGTACATTTAGTAGTTTCTAGAATTATACATTCCCTTATTCATGTATGCTTTCAAATGCTGAGGAGATAAAGGAATGGAAGATTTTTCCTACAATATTGCACTTTGCTGTCCCATAATAAGAACAGAGCTGCTGCCTTTTGGATCCCTTATTATGATACAGATAAACTTCAAATTGTTAGAGTGATGGTAAACAAAGTTTAATAGCCTCAAGTCTGGGAGGTGGTTTCTGGAAGATAAATGAGACTTGAAATCTTTCAAAGAGTATAACTGTCTTTCCACAGACCATTCAAGATGGACCCGACTAGTTGACCTTACCCTGGTGCGATGCCATGCTATAAAGCTAGATTCTTTTAGTCAGTTCATTGAATTACTGCCAAGCTTAGAGTTTATCTCTTTGGACCAGATGTTTCGGGAACCTCCTAAGGTGAGATTCTGTGTACCTGTGTTTGCAGAGTTTTTTATCACTCGTGACTCATCTGAAATATACCAGACTCCTGTTGAGACATAAACTTTTTAAAACTGCAGTTAATTCAGTACCTCAATAAATAACTCAGGAAATAGAATAGCCATTAAAAATGGGTACAGTGAGGATCAGTTGCATCCCTTTTCAGGTAGCAGTTGCAGTAGAGCATGAAGCCAATGATTAAGTATTTTGTTTCCAGAAAATAAAGTGGATCTTTGCTGTCTATATTTTTATAAGGGCCTTTATTGCTATTTTACTTTGTTGTTACTTTGCACATGATTTGCTTTTATGTTGAGGGAACTACTTGCTGTCTTTACACACGGTAAAATTATGGTACTGTACAGTAGACTCCCGACTTAAGTGAGTATTTTGTTCCGCGGGAATTTTGTGCAAGTCGGGACGACTTTCCCCATAGGGCATAATAGAATAGTGAGTGGTTGCGTACCCCAGACATACCTTAGTCATAGCTTTTTTTCCCCTTTTTTCGGTGGAATCACCTTTAGGAGACGCTTCTAGCATCTTGCCTAAGCATCTTGAGATGCCGCTACCACAATGGCAGCACAGCTCCACTTGATTCCGCCTGCAAATCTTGTGAGGCGTTCACGTATATTTGCGAATCTCCTGAGCGTACGTGTGTATACGTGAATGACGCGGATCTTGAGGGGCACTTTCTGGTCCGGACCCTAGTAAAAAATTGCATAAACGCAAGATACCCATAAGTTGGAATTGTGTAAATTGGGTGTCTGCTGTACCCTCGTATATGAGTACTTAAAGAGGGAATTTATCATTTCTGTCATTTCTAGCATTCTTTACTGTGGTTCTCCCCACCAAATTGTTGAAGGCTTACGTCTTCATACCAGTTTCTGTGATGCACTAAATGCTTTAATGAGATGAACACTCCAGTAATCTTTTCCATATTTTTGTTGTCTTCTAGTCTAAAATCAGGCATAGGATCATTTTGATAACTTATATCTGCTGCTGTGCTCTGGAGAGGAATATAGATTCTCCTATTAGAAAGCCAGATCATCTTTAGCTTGTTTCGTCTTTTGGCATATATGCATTACAACTTTTTACATACGATTGCATATTGAATTTTACACTTTTGATTTATTATTACAGTTTAAAAGAGGAAAGAGTGTGCATGTTTTGTTGCCAGATTGACTCCAATGTACAGATATAGTGAACAGATCCTTTCCCGTAGGCACATATGTGTAGTCCTACACTTCTTGGACAGAATAGCTTTTGTGTTAATGTTAGGGTCCATTATGGAGAGTGAATATCACTGATCCTGAAACTCCATTGCATTTTTCAGGGGTGTGCTCGTGTAGGTCTGAGTGCAGGCACAGGGATTGGTGTTTCATCTGCCCTGGTCAGCAATCAGAACTCCAACAACGAGAATGACAACAACAACAATCACCAAAACAACAACAATCCCAACATCCACCACAACAACCACCAACACCCAAATGATCAGAATGAGGAGAATGAGTTAAGGCAAGATGGGCAGGCTGAAGAGCAGCAGATTGCAGCTGAGGGTAACCACTGATCTTTTGTGAGCCTCCAAAAGAAATGATTTTTTTTCATTGCTATATATGCACGGGACTTTAGGCAAAAAGTGAATATATATTGAAACACAGCTCTTTAAGGTTCTTGTGAAATAATGTCTTTAATGCTTTGCTTTAGATCCTTTTATATATTCCTGCATATAGTGTTTATATATAAGGTCAGACTAGTTCTGGTTATTCATTTGAATCTTCTGGGCTTACTGGGCCAGGAATCAGTTTGTATCATGTTGTTTGTTAGCATCCCATCATGTTTACTGTGCAGTAGAAGGATCAGGAAGAGTTAGGCATCTAAATATCTCTTTAAAAATCTGTCCCATCATTCTCAGCCAGATGACCCCACTATGATGCAAGAAACTTTCTGAGAGAAAGGAGCTGTTTACATGAGCATAGAATGGGATCTGCACTGAAAGTTACACAACAAGAAACTTCAGTGTGTATCCCTAATACTCAGGGAGGAAACAAGTGGTTGGTGGTGGTGGTAGTCATAGCAGTATTTCTCTGGAATTTGAAGTGCTGTGTTCTTTGTTTTATTTCTCTTAACTCTTTCTGTTGTTTCCATCTCTTTAGCCCTAAATGATATGGAAGAGGTTCCACAAGAAGATGGAGTGGTTGCAGTGGATGTCCAGAATGAGTCCGTTGCTCATAGCCAGGCAGTTATTCCTATGGATGTTGATGAGGAGCAAGCAGGTAATTCTGACTCTGAAAAGTAACCTCTTCTTTAGCATTCTTCTCACTTACAAAAGGCTTTAGGTCTGTCTATTTCTGACTCAGCTTTCTTCATTGAGGCCACACAGGACATTTGAGATGCTGCCAAGAGCTAGATATGATTTAAAGCAATCTCAACAACTCCCATTTTTCTCTGTTTATTGGGTGAAGGATTATACTTAAAGCCTCATGGTTTATGCTGTAGTGTAATAACACTCAAATGGCCTGTATATTCTCAGCTTGCTGTGCCTTGTTTCAGGCTTTGAATTTATGGCCTCCTCCTTTCCATGATAATGTATGGACTCCCCTCCTTGACTTTGCTGTAACCACAGGAGCTTGTATAAGCACTAATTTAATTGTAGTAGTGAGTTGCATCAGGCTGCCCGTGATTTTTCATTTATTTTGTAGAATGTTGAATTGTTGATTTGCCAACAATATCAAGTAATGCATAAAAACATAGTGTCAGTTCAATTAATTGATTTTTCCAAAAAAGGGGTATTTTATATCATGCCACTGTTCATTTCTTACCTTACCTATGGTGGCATCTACTACCTCAGTGTGGTTCCAGTTACTGGCACTCTTGCCAAAAAGAAGCATCAGAGTTGAACTCTGAAACACAACCTAGGTTAATACTCATAGCAACACACTGCAGTGTCAGCTAAGAGGAAGATTGCTGAATCGCTGGGGATCTTCTCTGCTTATTTTTGGTGGTTGCCCAGGAGAAAGTTTACCAACAGCTCCAGGGGTGTTTAATATCAGTTGTCCTAACCAGCGTTCCCTTTCAGGAATGCAGGTTCTGATGGCTGAACACACAAGGAATTCCTAGTTAGTTCCACCGTTACTGCACTTCTAATCTGTCACTGTTGTGGAGAAGACTGGTTAATATTTGAGTCTGAGAAGCATTACAGGAACTGGAATTCTTAGCTGATCATCTTAATATTCCTTTTTTCTGATAAACATTATTTGCTTGGTTTAGTTATATTTTTATACTGAAACTTTAATTTGGTAGCATTTGAGTTTTAATGTTGTATCCACAAATGGATAAGCAGAGTTTGGCTAAGATGAACCAAACCCCTCTCTTCTGGAACTTCCAAACTTGTAGAAATTCATAGTATTGCTCTACTTTTGTGAATGAACTGTCAGCATTGTTCCCTGGTTTAGGGCCCAGTGGCCTTCAGCCCGTTGTAAAAGCTGGACCTATCACTGTCCATGATTCAGACAGTGAGGATGAAGAAGATAACCTGGGAACTTCAAGAGCCTGCATTACTAACAGCATTGCACAGAGTTATTCAGATGGAGAAGAGAAAGTTAGAGATCCAGTGGAAACCAGAGAGCCCTCAGGTGAAAGAATTTGTACAGTTTGTTAAAGGGGTGAAATGGTTAATATGGGTTGGGTTATCGTAGGCAACAGCTGCAGTTTGCTAATTGGAAGGTTGAAACTTAAGAGTCCAGTTTTCTTTCTCCTGCCCTTAGGTAATGATTTGGTTTTGTAGACCATTGCAACCTAGAATGGAACAGTAGAATAAATACCTATGACTATGCACTTGCACCGTCAAATTGAGAAGTAGAAGTATAGCCGCATGCTTGTGTGTGCATTTTCAAATGCATCCATTACATCGCTGGTTCACAGTATCATAGAAAAGTAGGGCTGGAAGGAACCTCTTTAGGTCATCTAGTCCAATCCCGTGCCTGAAGCAGTTGATGTAATTCGGGGCAGATATGCAAATGTTGTCTGCATTAACTGTCTATCAAAGCATGTACATTCATAAACAGCTTAACATTTGCTCATAAGCAAATGTTAAGGGTTGTTGGGAAACAACGATGTCATCTGATAAGTAATGCAGACTTCCTGGGAAAACTACACCAGATCCAATCCTATCCTTTAAAGGGACTGTTGCAGTCTAATAATGAAGAAGACTCTCAGGGAGCTGTTCTCCTCTCAAACTGAACTTCTTTGGAGTAAGGCTTGTTATTGTTATTCTCATAATTTTTTAGATCTGCTAGCACCTGGAGGCTCCAACAAATACTGGGCCCTTTTATAATGTGCATTGTAAAGAAATAAGAGGGCAAGCCCTGCCCATAGCCTACACTCTAAATGGGCAAGATAGACAATAGGTGGAAAGGCACAAGGAAGTGATTATAATTTGCTAAAGAGAGCACAGATGGTTTGTGACTAAGACAAAATATAACGCATGTCTCCTCACTCCAGGTCAGGTCCCTGTGCACTGCTGTATGCTGCTTCACCAGCAACATAGATTTCTCAATATTTTTTTATAGCTTTCATCTGCTCATTCTTTAGCTAGGACTCTTTCAAACAGGAAGAGGAAGTAAAAATTGAATTTTATACTGTAAATAACTACCACATGAAATACACACAGAGTTCTAGGAGTTGCAATAGCTAACTGAATTGGATATTAAAAGTCTAGTTTTGTGGTGAGGTATAATGACTTAGTTTTCTCTGCTAGCCTTTCACTTACTCAGAGCTGAGAACTAATTAGCCTGAAATACGATGTGAGAATGAATTTGATGGCTCCCTGTTTTATAGCTGATTATAGCTCTGATGTCATCTACCTGGATTTTAAGAAAGCCTTTGATATGATATCTCATCCTATTCTTATAAATAAATTGAGCGGCTGTGACATAGATGATTACATGGTCAGGTGGGTGGCAAATTGGCTAATGGGACATACCCAGAGAATGGTGGTGGACAGGTCGGCGTTGACCTGGAAAGATGGTGGGCAGTAGAGTTCCCCTAGGTTATGGTCCTTGGACCATTGCTGTTCAGTGTCTTCATCAGTGATTTGGATGAGGGCGTGGAGACCATTCTGTCCAAATTTGCGGATGACACCAAATTGCGGGGTAAAGTAACCACACTAGTGGACGGGGAATGAATCTAGGCGGATCTGGACAGGTTGGAGAAGTGGGCAGAACAGAACAGGATGCAATTCAACAAAGACAAATGCAAAGTGCTGCACCTAGGGGGAGGGAATCACAAACACATTTACAGGCTGGGGGATGACCCTCTCTGCAGCACTGTAGCAAAAAGGGATCTTGGAGTTGACTCCAAGATAAACATGAGTTTTCAATGTGATGAAGTGATCAGTAAAGCTAACCACACTTTTATCATGTATTAGCAGGTGCTAACCAACAAACAGGTCCAGGGAGGTGATACTTCCTCTCTATGCAGCACTGGCAAGGCCATAGCTGGAGTACTGCGTCCAGTTTTGGGTGCTGTATTTCAAGAGGGATGTGGATAACCTTGAGAGGGTTCAGAGGAGGACCACTCATATGGTTAGGGGCCTGCAGGTAGGGCCCTATGAGGAGAGATTGAGGGACCTGAATCTCTTCAGCTTCCACAAGAGAAGGCCAGGAGGTGATCTTGTGGCCGTCTCTGAATTCACTGTGGGGGACAGCAAGGGATAAGGGTTCTCTGTTTATCAGGGCATCCCTTGGAGTAACTAGAAATTACGGCCAAAACTGGTGGAGAGCAAATTCAGGTTAGACATTGGGAAGAACTTCTTTACAGTAAGGGTTGCCAGAATCTGGAATGGGCTTCCAAGGATGATGGTGCTCTCTCCTACCTTGGGGGTCTTTAAGAGGAGTCTAGACATGCACCTGGCTGGGGTCATCTGACCACAGCACTCTCCTGCTCTGGGCAGAGGGTCAGACTCGATGATTTGCTGAGGTCCCTTCCAATCCTAATATCTATGAATCTCCATATCAGATCACTTGTCATTCTGGTACATGTTGGCAAGGCAGTAGTTTCAATGCAAGGGAAGCCCATAGAGTGATACAGTGCTGAGTTGAAATACCCTGAGCTAGGTTCAAGTCAGAATTGAGGTACATTTGGAAGGCTTTACAATGATGCTGCTGGGAGTAGTTTGATTTAATAGACTGAGCAAAGGGCTAGGACAATAATAAATTAAGCGAAGGTAGAAAATCCTGAGTTCTGATGTTGGTTTTTACACTCCTTCTGTCTCCTTGTCTCTGTAAATTGGGAACAACATACACTCATCATTCCTTGCCTTTTGAAGTGGGGTTAATGGTGCTTGGCCTTTGAAGGTTTAAAGTTCTAAGTTCTTATTTAGCCTCTTGAAAATATAGGATTAAAATATGTTCTTACATTTTGGCCTTTTTTAATTAGTTAGCTGTCCTGTGAAAGCAGTAGGTATGTGCAGCCAGTGTGTGCCTCCTGTGCTGCTGCATTTGCCTGGATGTATGTCAGTTCAAATGAATGGCTTAAGAACAGTGAAGATATTCAGCAGCTGATAGAATTAAGTTTTAATTTCCTGTAACTTCAGAATGAGTCATAACTGCCAAACTGTAGGCTCTTGCTCCTGAACTCTAGCCTGCAGTCCATTTTAACTGGTGTCTTATGGAGAGCTATTCTGCACTTATTGGAACTTCACACTTGGTTACTCAATTGTTCTCTCATGCTTAATTATTTTTTTATCAGCAGTGAGTGGTAAAGGCAAGACTCCATTGAGGAAGAGATGCAGTGCCAACCAAATGGGCCAGGCAAAGCAGTTCCATGCTGAGGAGAGCAGCTGTGAGAAAGGCTGTCAAGTAACCAGTGAGCAGATTAAAGCAGATATGAAAGCAGCCAGTGACATGCCTGAGAGGAACAAAAACAAAGATTCTTACCCAGGTTGCAGTAATTCTACGGGATCCACAGGGGCCCCCAGTTCCTGCAATGTTGCTTCTCCAAGCGTGGACTGTGCAAGGACAGCTAGTAGTCACTCCGCTGGAACCAGTCCAGCGGCTGCAGATGAATCTAGGCAGTGTGTCTGCTCCCCTTGTAAGAGCGAAGGCTCTGCTGAGAGAGACAATGAGGAGAGCTCTATGTACTCTAGGTGCTCCTGCTATAAGCACCAAGAACCACAAAGAAGGACTAACAGGTGCTCTGATGGGGAATGCCCATCCACTAGTGGGGCTTGCAGTCAAAATGGAACAAATAACACTGGGTCAGATTTCTCACTTAGGACTCTGCCAGACTGTGGGCCTGCAGGAGAGGCAAGTGATGAGAGGACTAGTAGGAGTGTTTGTGGGCCTGCAACTGTGGAGGAGAGCACTAGCTTACAGCCACGGAGCTATGAGATGAAGTATAAAGAAGAGTATCCCCGCCGGCCTCTAACAAGAGCCAGAAGCAAACTATCTCATGTCCCTTTGGTGTCTGAATCAGGTAGGGCCCCGCCTCCTCTGTTTATTTCAGAGTTACTGTTTCATATGGGAGCAGTAAGTATTTTTGTAACTCTTAACATTTCACATTACCCCATAAAACTTTGAGTTAAACCAGTGGGCCAGAGCAAAAGGCCATTTTGTTGTTGGCTTCATAAGTGCTTAAGTCCATCAGTCTTTCTCAATAATCATGAGTAATCTCAGTGTTATTTCATCTGTTTACATGTTGTACATATTTACTACAGCTGAAAAACACTTGCAAGGTTTTGTTGGGTTTTGTTTGATTGTTCCCTAAAAAAGAAGACTTGCTTGCTTATTTAAGCGTTACTTTTCACAAGGGAAACATCAGGAATCCTGAAGTCTCAGCCAGTGGACAAAGATTAATACAATAATTGCATTAAATTATCAACCAATAACATGAATTGTAATTATTACTCAACCTAGCATGCACAGATATGTAAGACACCTGCATATTGAGATCCCTTAGGTGTGTGCAGCTTGACTAATGGATTTGTTGTAAAGTGTGTTCTTCACAAAACATTTTGCACAGTACCTAGAATGAAAAGAGAAGTGATGGAAAAAATCTGAAATTTAGAATGGAAGGAGGGAATTTGTTGGTATGTCCTACTTCATTATACAAGGTTTCAGCGTCCAAGTAGCTGTAGCTTCCACATTGGCTAGGCTGGTACTTGAAAATATTTTTTCCAGATACCTAGAATTCCTGCCTTGGGACATCAGGTAAAATGGAACAGCAAATAAAGGTGAAATTATAGAATCATAGCAGAGAGAGGAAATATCAAGTCATTGAATCGATATTTCTGCTCATAAAGAATGATTGATTCCAACACTGCTTTTGCTAGTGTTTATCCAGTTAATGTCCCAAATACTGACAAAGCTTAAATCACTTATCCTAGGGCGCCTTTTCACAGTTAGATACATCTCAGGGTCAAGAAGTTATGCTGGTACTCACTTTGAATTTTCCATTTCCTAATTCTGTTAAAACCTGTGCATTATTACTTCCATATTATACTAGGGTATCTTCCCCAAAATAGTGTTGCCTGTTAAGCTTGGTTCTTAACCAAATATCAGTTTCCTTAATTAAGCTAAGCGTCTTCATATTTCATATTCAGCAGATAACCTGATTGCCTGCAGAAGTCAGAAGTTAGTACCCCAAGTGCCTGCATGCGTGCACTTACCTCTGTAATCTCTGCAGTGTTTGTTCTGTGTTACCAGGTATCAGCTGATGCTGGAAGCAGAGTCCCAGGCTTGATGTATTAGTTTAGTTTTGTAGGGCTATGCCTGGATATTCAGGCCAATAACATTCCTTCTTTTTTGGCCATTATAATCTTTTTTTCCCTATCAGACTGGAACAAAACATTCATTTATGTTTACTGTAAATTTGGCCTTTTCTTTAAAAAACTAAGGACATTTTTCCCACACGGTTTGAATAAATGTTTTGCATTTCATGCTTTATTGTTTGGGGCTTATGTTCTGGATCAAAGTGAAATAGTGGTTTTTAGCTTCCATAACTTATTTGCGATAGTGAAACTTCTATAATTATTTGTCTTGAGTAATTGTTTAACCTTGTCTCCAGCGTCTGAATATTAACTTGTTTCTTTGCTTAATATGGCTGATGAAAGAGTGAAATATTTACTGATATCATAGACAAGCCTGCAAAAGGGGGAAAAGTATATTGAAGTATACAATACTAATTACACTGAGAACCTCAAGTAAAAATGGTTTTGTCATTTAATAAGCATCTTATTGAACCCTGCCTTGGGATTCATTTTTTAATTGCATTTCACAGTTAAATCCACATTAAGTCCTCTAAAAAGATGATTTCCTTGCCTGGGTTGTATATGGTGTATAAGTCAGCCTGTGTGATGTTTTCTTATGTTGCAACTAAGTGACTGTTTCACTGTGCTTATGTGATCTGTGAAACCGTCAGGAAATGCTGCCAAATGATGATACGTGAGTTGCCTGCTCAATATAGGGTAATATAAACTTCTGATTGAATAATAATTACAATTTCATACTGCATATTCCAAGCTAGGAGTCCTCTAAATGATGCCCATAAATACTGCAGTTTGTAACCTGAGCCCTAGGCGTCTCAGTTAAAAGTGGAATGGTGGTTGCAATTAAGAGGCTGTTTTACATGACTGCTTTCCGGATGTAGAGTCACTAAATAGTTTGTGTTTAATTTTCTTTTCTGTTCTTAGCAGTAGTATATCTTGCTTTGAAATAATGTCAGGGTATAACATCATGCCCTCAGGCTTGCAGTGCTAGCATCTTGAGAACTTTGTAACAATGCCAAACCTGACAAAGGTGAATGAAGAAATGGCATGTCACAAAAGCCTACAGAAAGGGTAATTTCAAAAGCAGCACTCAGCAGTAGGTTATCCAATTTTAAGAACACTGTCATGATTAGTTGGCTAAAATTTTTTTTCTTGTTATGTCACACCTCTGCTCAGTTTCCTGAAAATAACTTCAAGTTTTTGTTGGTTTGTAGCAGAAGCAGGCAATAGAGTTCTGGGTATATGTGTAATTTTATTTATATATCTCTAATTCAGTTTTCCCTACAGTAATGAGGGAGTGCACAAATTATCATCCCCTGGCCCTGGATTTCAGAAGCCATTAGCTGTTCTTCTGTATCTTGTCCCCCTCCATTCTTATTAGTTCTGTTTCTGTGTACTGGCCGTCCAGTGAAATTTACCCGTGTCCCATTCTCCTGAACACTTAGGAATTGCCAGACTGGATCAAACCCAGGGTCCATCTAGTCTCCGACAGTGGCCAGCACCAGATGCTTCAGAAGAAGATGTAAGAACCATGTAGCAGCAAATGTGGGATAAACTTTTCTTTCCCCTTTGCTCTCCCGTGCTCCTCCCCTTCCCCCCCCATAACACAGTCTCATTTTGAGATCTGATCGCTAAAGATTGGCTTTAGCTCTGAAGCACGAGGTTTCGTGTTCTTTTGAAATTTAACTTCTAACTATAACAAAAAATATTCATGTTATCCACATAGGAGTGTAATCTTGCTGAGTACTTGGCTGTCGCATCATCTTGTTGTAACAGATTCTACAGATTAATTATGCATTTTAAGAAAAAGTATTTCCTTTTTAGAGTTGACTTTACTACACTTTAACTTCATTGAAGGTCCATTTATTCCTGTAATAAGAGAAAAGCAGAAGCTCCTAATCTACCATGGCTTTATTATTTGTTGTTTTATATATTTTCTTATGTCCCCTCTTGTTTCTTTTCTGAGTAATAAAACCTAGTCTTTCTTTGTATGAGTTTTTTTTCCCTATGAGGATGATCAATTCTTGTAATACTTCTCCTTATTATTCTACACTATCCTTTTTCAGACTACTCCTGTAAATATCACCATTTTTATCTAAAGGAGGAGATAAAGTACTAAGTTAAGTACACCTAAGCTTGAGTATTTCTGTGAGTAAAACAACACTTAGTCTCCTTACCTTGACTGTGTTCCTCTTTAAACTCCCATCCATTTAACACAAAGGCTAAGTACAGATGGTCAGAAACTCTGATGCTGAGTTGATTCAATCTTCGCAGGTTAGTCTAAGCTGCGTAGATTGAACCAATAAGTGAACAGACATTCACTTTTGATTTCAGAAATGCAACCACATTGCTGCAGTTGTCCAGGCCAGAAGCTGGGAGGCATTAGAACGCTCCTCCCTGCTTAGCTGGAACAGACAGCTTACGGCAAGCCTAGCCCTCCCACCTTGGGAGGTGTGGGTATTTACAGGGGAGGTGCAAAGCATCCTGGGATGCTGGGACTGAGAGTTAACTTGAATCTGGAGGGGATCTGGAACAGTTCAATAAACTGATTTAACCTAAATCAGTTAAGTCTGAAACTACGTCCATCCAGGTTTATCTTAAACCAGTTTCAGACGTTTTGAAAGCAGTTTGTGTGCACTGAACTTCTATTGTGTTACAGATTGGAACTGGTTTCTGATCACTTACACTGGTTAATGTGTAATTTCTCTCCCTAGTCAAAGGGTGTTTCTTTTAATTGAAATATTAACCTACTGTACTTGCAGAGGGCATTGAAATTTAATACATATTTTATAAATGTAATTTTTGCATAAGTAGAAGGATATGACTATTGCAGAAAAATGGAGTGGTGAGGGTGCTGTTTATTATCATTTCCATGTAGAATCTTGTGTTTTAAAATGCAAATAAAGCAACCTTCTACATTTGATGTCAGGGTTTCCTCTGACATACAGATCACTGAAACTTAATGTAAGGAGCTTCTGGGCACCGTCTGCCTTGCAGTATAAGGGGAAAAGGAGAACTCTGAAGTGCAAATTAAAAATGAAGCAAAGGAGATATACAAACAGGATAAGTCTATTTAAGACGGCTAACGATTTAAAAGCCTAATAAGGTTCATTTATTATTGAAAAAATAACTCTTCAGGGAATGGCATATTGTCTGGTGGTTAGAACTAGCTGCTTCTTCCCTCTCCCTTACAGTCTCTCGCTGTGGGACAGTGGACAAGTGATTGTGTCCTCACCTGTACATTCAGTTTAAATGGATTGAATTTGGAGTTCGAATGGATTTGGGCAATAAACCTAAAAATGCTTTTGGTGCAATTGAAGGGTGTGGTTATAGTCAAAAAGTCAGCTCAGTCACTGACTTGATCCAGTGGTTGTTTTGAAGAACCTTGAGCATTAGGATACTGTTGAAGGTGTTCAGATAGGAAATGTTATTGCTTTTCACTTGGTTCGTAAACACAGGAGAGGCTTGCTTTAACTTTTTTATTTTTCTCCCCAGAGGTAGCCAAGCCAAAGTCTCGACAAACAGCAAAGCGAAAAAGGACAGCAGACAAGTCAACAAGCACTAGCGATCCTGTTATTGAGGATGACCATGTTCAAGTGAGACTTCTTTCTACACCTGCTATAGGGTTTTCCAGGCAGGGAAAAAGTATTAATATTGACACTACAGGCTTGTCTTGGCTACAGAGTCAAACAGACTTGTAAATAGTTTGGGCCCTAACTAAAATCCTTTCCATGTAAAAATTAGTCCCAGCTGAGTGCTACCAGCTCTTGAATGACTTTCCACACACAGTTCTACCAGGTCTTCCTGCATGCTTGTATAGGACAGACATACCTGCCCCCAGTTAACTGGGAAAGGATTCATAGGGCAGCGCAAGTTATTCCAGCTCTAAGGAATATGGGGTGTGTCCTCAGAGATCATAGCACCGTGTATAACTGAGTGCAGTGCCGATGGAGACTCAGCAGCTTGAGCTAATTTTGCCATAAAGTGATTTCCTTTCAGGCTAGGATAACTCAAGAGGGGTAAATTGCTCTTAAAGTGCTCATTGGTTTTTTGGTCTGTTTTATAATTAGAAGTTCTGTAAGGAGTATAGGAGATTATTTATCAAAGTGTGACTAGCCTCTCTCAAAATTGCTGTATTTGAAAGTGACCCTGCCAGATTTAAAAAAAGAGAGTATTACAATTTGTAGATACAAGTAACATATATTGCTGAAAAGTTTTAAAACATGCTTTTCCCTCTCTGAGTGCGTTTTTAATAGCATTTGCAAATAATTGGTTCCCCCATGGCTTAATTGTTCTGTTTCTTTTTGTGCTAATAGTACAGTCACAACATTTGCTGGATCTTTTTTGAAAAGCTAATTAAGAAATGCAAATTGAATTTCTTTCCCCATTTCCTATTGCTAGTGCTTTCACCCTATCTTTGTAATCTCTGAAATTATTTTTCCTCTGTATCTACTTACTTTTATTTCCCTGACAGTGGTATCAGAAATAAAAGACTGAATGAGCTGGAGAGATTAAATTCCCTCTTCACTATATAAAATTTCCTGTTCTGAGCCCCACTGATGAAATGCAGCATGTATAGGAGGTTCAAACTGATTCTTCATGCTGTAACTGTTCTGCATTTAAACAAAAGATCAGTGTAATTGTCAACCCTCAGAAGCTTTCATGGACCACTCTACAACCTTTCCGTCCAATCGGAATTGTGAGAAGTGGGAGGGTCAGTGGCCGTAGGAGCTTCTGACTTGAGAGTATTTTTGTATTGAATCAATTACAGCTTCTGGGAAGTATGTTTTGGGCCACAACTGTGGGTCTAAAAATGCAAGTTAGTTTTAATTCGTATTTTATGCCAGTGCTGATCAGCAACACAAGTCCTGCTTTTTCCTTTCTAGGGATATCTCAATTACCTCCATTACCTGTTCCAGGCTAGTGCCATTATTTACACTGGATAATATCCCAAATTGAAGTATTTCCTAGAAGAGTGTTTCTCAATCCATGGGTTGTGACCCAAAAGTGGGTTGCAAGAATATGTGAAAGAGTTGTGAACAAACTGTAAAAATGGATCAACAAACTTCAAAAATGGATTCTCCTTTAAAGGAGTTCCAGCCTGCAAGGGGCTGCTTGGGGGGGGGGCATTCCCCACAGACAGACCCCTCCTGCCCCACACACCCAACCCCTGCCCCATACTGTGGAGGCAGGGAGCAGTGGGTTGGGAGTGAGGGGCACTGGTTTGGGACTTGCCATTGATGTTTACAGATGGGTCCTGGTACACAAAAGGTTCAGAACCACTGTCCTAGAACATTTCTTACAGAATGGCCATTGCTGTTCTTGGCATTTTTTCTCTTTGAAAGTAATCTTTTAAATTAATTTTGTATTCATCCTATCATATAGATTTTTATTCTTAAATCATTGCTAGGTGCTGACTTTAAAATCCAAAAACCTTGTTGGGATCACATTGACCAATTGTGGAATAACAGACCTGGTGCTGAAAGACTGCCCCAAAATGATGTTCATCCATGGTATGTAGTTAATATTGTCAAGGCACTCATCGAGTCTTTCTCTCTATTTCCCCAAGAGCATATACTGTCTCTTCTGTCTACTCAGATTATATGGGTGTCACATTAAACATTCTGTAAGGCGATGCTACTGGGCCACTGCTCATTCCATTTTCATCAGTCTTTTAGTTAAATATTAGATTCAGTACTTGATAGATTAGTAACTGAAGGATATATAATGAAGTAAATCAGGGCTTCTCCATTTCAGTTTCTTAATTCTCTAGCTCACTGATTCTCAACCAGGGTGATGCCAGATCCTTTGGATACCAAGAGGTGTGAAGAGATAAGCACAGTCTCAAGCTTGTGTCCTTGCCTAGCCTATCTCCCACTCCCTTTGCCCCCCACTGCTCTGCTACTCTGCAAAGATGTAAGCACTGTAATATACAAATTATTTTTTAAAAATTGGATCCCACTCAATTCACAGAAGCTATGGAGGAGTGCCTCAAGTCCAGTGAAGGATGCCTTGAGTCCAAAAAAGGTTGAGAACCACTATTCAAGCTATAACAGATTTAGTAAAGGTTAATATCTAAAAAGTAAGGAATGTAATATCACATGACAGCCATCTGGCAAGGAAAGTTTTGCTTGGAATAACTGTAATAGTTGGAAGTTGATAAAATTAGTTGAAATACCTTGTTTTTCCCTGTCACTTGTCTCTGTGTTCACAGAACTCCCAGTTATTTAACTGACACAATTGTGTTTTCCTTCTTGAAAGCCTAATATTCAAAACAGATTTATATCATATAATGTCACTTTGTGTATGTTACTTTACTGCAAGTGATATCGTAGCTGTGATGATCCAGAAATTGTGGGAAGCCAGGATTTCTTAGGGTGATACCTTTTACTGGACCAACTATAGTTGGGATAAAGATATCACCCAAAGAAATCTTGCCTCTTGTACATTTTCACGTTCTAATCTGCATGCATATTTCCACCTAAAACACCAGTTCATTTACTCTGTTTACATCAACATCTGCAATACGTAGCAGTGCCTCCCTTACCCAAACTGATTAATTTCTCTATGCAATTAGAAGAAACTGGAATTTGATTGCATAGATTAAGTTTAATCCACAGAGCTGTTTAGAGCACATTTTTGTGTTAACTAATCAGCTAAGTACAAGTGTTTCTAGACATGATAGGAGGAAGTGGATTATAGCTGCATAGCTCTTTACCAATAAAAATATTCCATTTTCATAGGTAGATTGTTCTATAGAAGAAAATTTAAAAAACACGTTAAATTTTTTATTTAAGCTGTCAGCTGTATAAACACAATTCAGTAACTGTCCTTTATATAAATATTAGTTGCTTCTTTACTAAGCAGTCTGCTTTGCAAAACATTGAAAAAACATTCAGATCAAGCCTATTGCATGTTATTTTGAATTTATTGTTGCTTTTAAAGCTTTGTTTGTTTGTAATTTATAGCTACAAGATGTCGTGTACTAAAGCACCTAAAAGTAGAGAATGCACCAATTGTCAATCGATTTGACTATGCTCAGTGTAAGAAGTTAAACATGGATCAGGTACTAGATCAAATACTGAGGATGCCGCCAGAGAGAAACCGGATCATTTACCTTCGTCCAATGCAGCAGGTACCCAGCCAGTTTTTAGTTAACTAGTGAAGAATTTGAAGCTCTGGTTACTTATTTTTTTTTTTTCCACCTCTGCTCACTTCATTTTTATTTTTCATTCACTTCTCTTTTTGTTTTCTGGAAGAGAAATATGGTAGTCTAAGAGATTCATTTTCTTGAGACCAGACTATATTGCCATCAGCTTCTTTCCTGCTTACTGCTTTCAGCACAGGTTTGAAACTTCATTACTCATTTTAAATCTTGAATTTGTTACAGTCCCTTACTAGCTCCAAAGATGAAGTTCACTGCATTAAAAACACTGTAAAAAAGTCAATGCTGAGCCATGTAACTAGTGGTTCATAGTATGCCATAAGAACAATTATTAGTATGCATGTAACTACACAGTCATTTACAGGCAAAAGCAGTTGATGGTCTTTCTGAGTCAGGGTGGCTAAATAGGGGAATATTAGTTAACCTGTTGACCAGAAAGCTAGACCTCTACCTATAGTCCTATTCTTTGCTTGTAGTAGGCCCCGTTGCCTTATAAGGACAGAGATACTCCACAAATAGCTTACTCTCAGATTGGAAGACCA